GATACCAATGACAAGAGAATCCAGCCGCAGGGATGAAGCCACGTGCACTTTCATCCAACGGTTCACATCCTTCATCTTCTACTATAAACGCTTCTAGTTAGCTCCATTTCAAGGTAATGCTAGTTTACATTCTTAAACTACTCACTACTCTTTTTTACTTTATATAGCAGTCTCAATTCTGAACCCTTTTTCGTGATAAATCTGTGCCCTAGCCCGTAGGCTTGTCCCACATCCAATTATATATTCCACCATATTGACTTGACTGTCAAAGTGCCTGTGACCACCTCCCACACCGTCAAAGTCTAGCTGTACGTCCTAACGGTTTGTCTAAGTGTGCATGAAAAAAGCTTGCGTGGGCACCGGAGGAGTTAGGACCTGTTGGCAATATCACCTCTACAAAAAGTGGGGTCAACACAAGTTGTATTGAAATTTCATTTCCTAGTAAATGTATTTACAAGGTGGTTGTTTTGATTTTCTAGAATTATTGAAAGGGTTTTGAGAATTAGATGTTTTCGAAGTGTATGTCCTCTAAATGCAGAGGTCGAAAATCATCTTAGATGTAGAGACAAATCAAAATCACAATAGAGAATTTTTTTGAAAATTCTCGTTTCTTGCTTTCAAGGCTCACCATTGAGATACTACAATTAAGACAAAGGAGTAGTTGCACAGATAAACTCCTTATATAGAGGAAAAAAATTGATTTTTTTGGTTTTCTTTTAAACTATATGCCTAAATCAGAAGTTCATTTAATGTACCCGAGAAACTGGTTTCCCAATGCATCTCACAAGGATTATCCATATATCTACTAAGATCACTTGTAAAATAGGCTAAATCAAGTCTTGAACAGTCCATAAGGTACATAATAGACCCAATTGCATTAGAGTATGGCACTTTTGCCATCCTTTCAATTTCTTCTTTTGATTTAGGACATTGATAAGCTAAAGTTTGAAATGATTAGCCAAAGGCACCCTAACACACTTAGCATCAAATATAACAAACCTCTCTAACAATTTCAACATATAAGTTTTCTGAATTAGAAAAAGTGTACCTTTCCTTTTATTTCTTTTAATTTCAATTTCCATGATTTTTTTAATAGGACCTACATCCTTCATTACAAACTCAGATTTTAAATTGTCTATAATTAATTCAATTCTTTTATGCCATGACTAGCTAATAGCATGTCATCTCACAAAGAAGCAGATAAAGAGAATCATTTCCACCATTTCATCTACGATAAAAGGCAAGTATCAAAGTTACTTCTCTTAAAATTAAGTCCAAGTACACATGAATCAAACATTTTGTACCATTGCCTTGGGAGTTTGTTTTATGCCCAAAAGAGATTTTTTAGATTCCTTATCTTTTTCAAAGCATTTAGGTTGTTTCATATAAATGGTTTCATCAAGGTCTCCATTTAAAAAGGCTATTTTGACATCTAATTGGTCTAATTTCTAGTTAAACTGTGTGGCTAACGCAAACATCACTCTAACAGTTGTAAATTTTACAAGTGATAACAAGATTTCATTGAAATCAATTTCTCCTTAGCAACAAGTCTTATTTTGTACCTAATGCCATCTTCACTTTTTTGACCTCTTTTAATTTTGTAAATCCATTTATAGTCAACTACCACTTCACCCTTTTTAAATCAAAACCCAAGTATTATTCTTTTAAGAGACTGCACTTCTTATTGCATTGCCACAAGCCAATGCTTAAACTCTTTACTACTCATAGCTTCTTCAAAAGAATCATGTTCATTTTAAATTAAGTTTTAAAAGGTTAAAAGTGAAACATCCTCATCATATCTAATGCCAGGTTCTATTTGTTCTCTCTGCCTATCATTAGCTAATTGATTATCGCTCAATGATTGATTTGAGCCTGTAAATCATTTTCATTGTCAGATTCATCATTTAAAACTCCATCATTTGGAGTTTTGATAAGTGTGTTTTACACACGTAATTGTGACACAAAACAGATTGAATGTTGTTATAAAAAGCTCGAAAAGGACTTGATTAGTTATATATTGTTTTTGTAGGGCGACTCTGATGGAATGAATGAAATGTAAGCGAAAAGAGGCAAAAAGGACCAAAATGCAAATCAACGAAAGTTCAGGGACTAATTTGCAATTACTCAGAAGTTGACCCGAATGAT